AACTAAAAGAAACACTCGAAAATTTGATATCGTGTATGTAATATTTATAGTGAAAATTATTTTTTAGGTACTTGATAATTAAAAAAATTAATTTAATTTATTGAAACGATAAACATGGTTTGATTTTACACCACGAGGAGGCGCGTCTTAAAATTATCATGTGGGTGCGTGTGCGCCAAAAATCTCTTGGTCTCACGTGGAGAGCGTGAAATTTATAAGGTTGACCAAGTCAAACTGGCTTCAATCAGTCGGCCAGCCCACTCGGAGGTTGACTTTTCAACCCTTTCCTACCTGGTATCTCCAGAGCCGCTCCGCGTTTGCGTTTTTTCAGTCGGACACGTGGCATCATGTGGTTGTAACACGTGTCATTCTCTGGATTCATATTATGAGACTACTCTTTTTGGCCTTTGTAAAACGACATTGTTTTTGTCGCTTTGTCTCCTGTCCTCGCGATAACGTCATGTCGTTTCGTGCTTGTTGTTCCATTTGAATTTTCACTAAGATCACCCGATCTTTTCAACATAAAATATATATATATATATATATACATATATTATAGAGTTGGTGTAGTAGAATTCACTTAGTCTTTGTTTAATTTAATATATTACCCTATAATCATATTAGATTTGATTATATCAAACTTAAATTAGATTTCAATCTTAATTAAAATATAATCATATTATGTTTTCGTAAATCTTATATTATAAAAACTCAATTAAATATTGTTTTTTACAAACACTTACTAACATTTTTTTCTTTTATATAAATACCGTTTTACAAACCACGTAAGTGGGATTATTTATTAAAAAAGAATAATACGACATACTAATGAGTTACGTATCTTTTCTCCGAAGTGAATAAAATTCGAGATTGGAGTATATTGGTTAAGAAAGGCAAAGGGGTTGCAAATAAGAAAGAAGACGATTGCGAACGAGAATCATGTACGAACCAACATAACTTTCGAGAATTTAGTAGGTATAACGACAAAAGATAATCGAGGTTGATATCTCATTGTTTCGACATGTTTTCGATTTCTAAAGTTAGAAAGTTAGCATTTTTTAGGTCGCAAGATTTTACGAAGAAAGGCCTATTCGTGTCCGAGGAAGGCTTAACGAAAGGCATGGAATTTGGGCCAAAACTTGGACCTTAAACAGTATAAAGAAAAGCCCATCATCACATTATAATTTTTGTCCCACCAAATGATATATATATATGTATATATGTAGGGGAAAAAAGGAGAAATTTTTTGATAATAGTGATTGATTGAAATCAATACAACTAATAATACAGAGAGATAATCATAATAAACCTCTCTGTTTATGGTTCAAATGATATATATATGTATGTATATAGATGTCAAGGAATTTCCATTCCTGATCACAAACTAATTTTGTGAACCTATCATATATATATATATTGTCTATGCCGCAGTTTTTAGAGGAGGTATACTCTGTTCATTCCAGAAGAAATTTCCTGGATCAACTGCAGTCTTCACCTTCACCAACCTATCAAAATTATCACCAAAATACATCTTCCCATAAACCTTTCCTTCTTCATACACATTCCCACCAAGCTTATTAATCCCAATATCAAGATCTCTATAATTTATGTAACTCCCTCTAGGGTTTTGAGAAACCAGAGGAGTCATATACCCATAAAGAGTTCTTATCTCGTTCATGAACTGTTTATCTGCTTCAATCCCAGCATCTACCCAGTTCACAGAATACTGAATCTTGTAAAGCTTATCTCTGTGTGGAAATGGAGTTTCGGTTGCAGAAACCTCTTTAAGTGCTCCCCCATAAGGATTAAAAACCAAACCTGTTTTTCCAATCTTGATCATCTGTTTGAATAGAGATTCCAAATCTGGTTTACTAATCTCCTTACTCACGTAATCTGATTTTCTCTTCATGAAACTTCCTGAACCAGGATGTCTATCAAGTAAAACATCTGGGGTTACACTGTTTACATCATCAATGTTTGACCACCATAGAACAGACTGAATCCATGTCATTTCTGTACAATTCTCTTTCTTCAAACCCATTTCAGGAAACTCTTTCCCCAAAAGGGAAACTACTTCATCTGCTTTACCCAAAAACAATGCCATAATAGTCGTTCTTATCGTCCTGTTTTTCTTCCATGTAATGGGTTGTAGAAGAACTCTCATGAATAAACCAGGGTTAGTTTTTGGACCAACGAATTGCCATTTGTGAGTTATGTCAAGAGCATTTTCTTCCATGTAATATTGTACTCGGAAAACTGTAACAGTTTCGGGGACAGGGACGAGTTTGAGTTTATAAGATAAAATAACACAAAAGCTTGCTCCTCCACCTCCTCTGATCGCCCAAAAAAGATCTTCCCCCATTGATTTTCTATAAAGAATTCTTCCATTCACATCAACTATTTTAGCGTCCACCATATGATCAACGGACAAACCGTACTTACGTATCATATTTCCATACCCACCGCCGCTTATATGTCCACCAGCGCCGACAGTCGGACAAACTCCGGCGGGGAACCCAAGAACTTTACTTTTCTTCCAAATCGCATGGTAAACTTCCCCAAGCGTCGCACCGGATCCAACCCACGCAGACAGATCCGCCATGTCCACCGTTACACTCCTCAAATTATACATATCCAGCATGAAGAAAGGGAGATCAGAGACATACGAGATCCCATCATAGTCATGGCCGCCACTGCGGATTTTCAAACGAAAACCAACTTTCTTGCTACAAATCACAGCTGCTTGAACGTGGGATTCTTGCAATGGGGTTATGATGATTTCCGGCTTTGGCGCAGTAGAGGTGTTGAGACGTGCATTACGTAAGTATGCTTGAAGAACGGAGGTATAAGCAGAGTTGGTTTTAGCAAAAATGGCTTTTGAAATCTCAGGACCTGTCTGGTTTGTCATACATTGCAGGAAGGTTTGGTAAACTTCGACTGCCGAAGATAACTCGAATCTGGTGAAGAACAAGAGGAAACAAACTGCGAGAATCGACATAGAGCTTGGTTTCGCCATTGTTGATTCTTTTGAAGTTTCTGGGGTTCGTGTTCTTTTTATATATATATATATATACACAAAAGGATTTATGTGAAGAAAAGAAGAAATAAACTTAATAAGAACACAAACTACCCCATTGATATTTGACAGAGGCTGAGAAGAATTTATAGGGAGGTTTGCTTTGAGGAGAAATCCATGCATGGTGACTCTCTATATTTACGTATTTACTAATTATTTTCAAGTAAAAGCCGACAAGGTTCCGAAAATTATGGGCCCCACTTTCAGCGGAACCTTAAATAATTCCCTAAATTGTGGGCCCCGCTTTCAGGGGAATATACTAATTAAATTAATTTTTTATTAACTAAAAATTTTTATTTTTTATTATGAAAATAATCGATAATTTCATTAAAAAAATAACCAATTTGCAATTTTATTTAACTAATAAATTAAATTGAATATTAATTTTATTTTTAATTAAAATTTCTCATTAATAAATTTGAAGCCGACTCATAAATGCATTTGATAATTGAGGGACCTATCTCCATAATTTCTGTCTTTCTCCCACCTACAAGAATTAAATTGATAATATCACTATGACTGGAAATCAAGAGCTGATGATATACATATGTATGTATATATATATATATATATATTTTATGTTCAAACAGAAAGTAATCATGGGTGTATATCTGTATACATTATAACAGATCCAACTATTTTAACATCAAATTTTTTACAAAGTTAGTCATTTTAACAGAAAATTTCAATGATGCTTTAGGGTTGAAGTTAAATGATGTTCAAGCAACTTGCTTTTTTAATCTTTACAGTGAATCCCTTCCCTTCAAATATCTATGACCAAACATGTCAATTTCAACACCTCAATGAAATCTTCTGCAACAGTCTTGAACATTTTCTTAATCTTTCTTCTCCATTTTCAGATGGGATCTTCAGATCCAGTCCAGGAAGTCTTGCTCCAGTGTCTTTCTGCGCATTCCACACCAAACCCACCAATCTCCCAGGTCGTCTTCTTCCCTGATAACCCTAATTACCCATCTGTTTTGCAGGCTTACATCAGAAACCTGAGATTCACATCCCCATCAACACCAAAACCACTTTTCGTTGTCACCCCTGTTCATGTCTCTCACGTCCAGGCATCAATCATCTGCGCCAAACTTCATGGGTTGGAGCTCAGAATTCGTAGCGGCGGCCATGATTATGATGGTCTTTCTTATGTCTCTACTTCTCCTTTTATCGTTCTAGATATGTTTAATCTAAGGTCCGTAAGGGTTGATTTGGAAGATGAAAGTGTTTGGGTTGAGTCAGGTGCTACACTTGGTGAGCTTTTTTATAGTATTGCAGAGAAGAGTAAGATCCATGGATTCCCAGCTGGGGTTTGTCCTACAGTGGGTGTTGGTGGCCATTTTAGTGGAGGGGGGTATGGAAATTTGATGAGGAAATTTGGGTTATCAACTGATAATGTGATTGATGCCACCATTGTTGATGCAAATGGCAGAGTTTTGAATAGAAAATCAATGGGGGAAGATCTGTTTTGGGCTATAAGAGGAGGAGGTGGAGCTAGTTTTGGAGTCATTCTTTCATGGAAAATCAAATTAGTTCCTGTCCCTGAAATTGTTACTGTTTTTAGAGTTGAGAGAACATTAGAACAAGGAGCAACAGACATTGTTCATCAATGGCAAATTGTTGCACCAAATATTCATCAAGATTTGTTCATTAGAGTGGTTTTGTTACCAGTAACCAGGAAGAACAATGAGACTATCAAAGCCAAGTTTGTAGCTTTATTTCTTGGAAATGCTCAAGAACTTATGGGTTTAATAGATTCGAAGTTTCCTGAATTGGGTCTGTCAAAAGATGATTGCATTGAAATGAGCTGGGCGGAATCAGTATTGTTTTGGGATAATCATCCTAAGGGTACATCAATGGAGAATTTGCTTGACAGACAACCAAAATCAGTCAAGTTCTTAAAGAAGAAATCAGATTATGTGGTTGAACCAATTTCAAAAACTGATCTTGAAGGGATATTCAAGAAGATGATTGAGTCGAGAAAACCAGCATTGACATTAAATCCATATGGTGGGAAAATGAGTGAAATTTCAGAATTGGAAACTCCATTTCCTCATAGAGCAGGCAATATTTACAAAATACAATATTCAGTGACTTGGAAAGAGGAAACTGCTGAAGCTGAAGATACAAACTTGGGTCTGATTAGAAAGCTGTATGATTATATGACACCATATGTATCAAAAAACCCAAGATCTGCTTATCTAAATTACAGAGATATTGATTTGGGTGTGAATGAAAATGGCAATGCAAGCTACTCAAAAGCTAGAATTTGGGGTGAAAAGTATTTTAATAAGAATTTTGACAGGTTGGTGCAGGTAAAAACCATGGTAGATCCTGGTAATTTCTTCAGATATGAACAAAGTATACCAAGTATTGCAGCTTGGGAGGGTAAAATGGCAGAGTAGATGCTGCTTGGAACAGGTTCATATGAGATTTATTTCCTATTTCGGAAATTGATACTGAAAAGGGAAACTGGTATTGCAAAGTTCAAATTTTTCTATAAATTGCATAATGTTTTCTTGAGATCTAATTAATTTATCTTGTAATAATAACAAACATGTAGATAATACAATTAAATTAAACAATCCAAAATACAATATTCAGTGACTTGGAGAGAGGAAACTGCTGAAGCTGAAGATACAAACTTGGGTCTGATTAGAAAGCTGTATGATTATATGACACCATATGTATCAAAAAACCCAAGATCTGCTTATCTAAATTACAGAGATATTGATTTGGGTGTGAATGAAAATGGCAATGCAAGCTACTCAAAAGCTAGAATTTGGGGTGAAAAGTATTTTAATAAGAATTTTGACAGGTTGGTGCAGGTAAAAACCATGGTAGATCCTGGTAATTTCTTCAGGTATGAACAAAGTATACCAAGCATTGCAGCTTGGGAGGGTAAAATGGCAGAGTAGATGCTGCTTGGAACAGGTTCATATGAGATTTATTTCCTATTTCGGAAATTGATACTGAAAAGGGAAACTGGTATTGCAAAGTTCAAATTTTTCTATAAATTGCATAATGTTTTCTTGAGATCTAATTAATTTATTTTGTAATAATAACAAATATGTAGATAATACAATTAAATTAAACAATCCAAAATTTTAAATATCGAATTTTAGTCTAATAATTATTTATATTTTTGAAAAAATGATAAAAAATCTCTACATTCACGTGTATAACTCTAGAGGGTGCTGGGTGTAAGTAAGAGCTCAGCATATAAACGCCACGTACATGCAGTACCTGCCATCGACCTGCCGCCACCTGCCGCCACCTCCTCTTCATGCAGTTTCTACTATGAATCTCTGTCAAGCAGCCATCTTTTCATTTCAACTTGAACTTGCAGTCTTCAATGGACAAGAAGAAGCTGGTGGTGCGAGGGGCTACGGCGGTGGCTGTAGCTTTTCTTGCAATCTTCTTAGCTCCTTTCTTTTATCCAGTGCCCAAAATAAAAGGTTCTCGCGACGTGCTACATGCATCTCGAGTTCTTGATCTCTCGACGGCCGGGGCTGTCGCCGGAGAGAGTCTGGATTTTGATCCAAAAGGAGAAGGACCTTACACAGGCGTTGCTGATGGTCGAATTCTTAAGTGGGAAGGCGAATCGGTTGGCTGGAGAGAATTTGCAATTGACTCTCCTCATAGGTATATTTTTATATATGTTATGCTAGGGTTTGAAGGTTGATGTTTGGATTATAATGATTTTAAGTTAGAATTGTTGTGGGGAAAATCGAATTTCTTTTTTGGGGGAGTTTGATTCATTTCAAAAGTTCAACATCAAATGGGTATTTATATAGCCGTGAAGTTGCCTACTCCCAACCACAATTATATATGGAAATGTTGTGAAAATAAATCCTGAATACAATCACCCAAAGTAAAGAACAAAATAAGAAAAAACATAAGATTATAGACTCTTATATATGCAAATTATTAGAGTTTGTTTGGAAATATTTCCAGAATGTATTGAACTACTCAAAGAATATACATAGAATATTGTCTAAAATATACACCGAATATTTCTTAGAATCAAGCTACATTAACAGGAAATTTCTTTAATCAAGTTTCTCATGTACAGCCCCTTCTGTTGATTTGAGCTTATACTTCGAAATTCTTAATTATTTACAATGGTGTGCGTATAAATATATATCTATATGGTTTAGTATATATATCTATATCTACTTCAGCCTCTTTGAAAAGTGAAGAGTGTGTAAATGGTGGGTTTGTTTTGTTTCTGCAACTCATGCTGTAGTCTGAAAAGTTTGGACTCTGTTTTTCATAGTAGATTCGAATTGTAAAAACCTGTTTTTATGCGTTTCTTTTGGTGGTCATCTATGTGTGTGTGTGTGTGTGTGTATATAAGTGTGTGTGATATTATGAAATCATTAAGGTGAATATTGAAATGATAATCGATTGATGAATTATTAATACTGAAGGCAGAGTTGCACTCAACCATCTTTTCCACAATTGGAGCATATATGTGGGAGGCCATTAGGTGTAATGTTTGAAAAGAAGAGTGGAGATTTGTATATTGATGATTGTTATCTCGGCCTGATGGTAGTTGGCCCTGAAGGCGGCCTGGCCAAACAACTAGCAATAGAAGCTGAAGGCCTCCGTTTCGATTTTACCAACCATATGGACATCGATGAGCTTGATGATGTTATTTACTTCACCGATAGTAGCAAAGTTTACAACATTAGGTTTGTTTCCTCTTTAACATCCATAATCTTATGGCTTATACCACTTTGTGTGTGTGTGTGTGCATATATATATATATATATCCCTATATGGATGTTTCAATTGTTTTCAGGACATACATGAATTTGATCATGAGTGGAGACCGAACAGGGAGATTGATTAAGTACGAAAAGAAAAACAGAAAAACGACAGTGTTGTTAAAAGGGCTTGGATTTCCAAATGGTGTGGCATTAAGCAAAGACCGATCCTTTGTTCTAGTTGCTGAATCCACTCGGTTTAGGGTTCTCAGGTTTTGGCTTCGTGGTCCTAATGCCGGCAAGCATGACGTTTTTGCTGATCTTCCCGGTGCCCCAGACAATATAAGGAGAAACGAAAAGGGTGAGTTCTGGGTAGCTATGTACACCAAGAAAACACTTTTTGCATACATGGGTTTTACTAATCCATGGTTCGGAAATATCCTGCTTAAGTTATTGAACTTCAGTCAATTAAACTCACTGCTAATTGGAGGGACACCCCATGCACTTGCTGCAAAACTGAGTGAGACCGGAGAGATTATTGAGGTGCTGGAAGATTCGAAAGGGAAGACACTGGCATTTATCAGCGAAGTGCTGGAGAGAGATGGGAAGCTCTGGATTGGGTCTATAACCACGCCATATATAGGCATTTATGATTACGATCGGTAAGTATTTGTAAATTTGTTATTATGTTACTTGTTCATGATCATCTCTTCTTCGACGTTGTTGTATTTAGATAGTGTCAAATAACTTGTAGTGAATTGTCACATGACAGTCCATGACATTGTCAATAAGGACTTGCTTGTGGCATTGTCAATGATGTGTTTGTGTCTAGAATACGTACCAGCAGTTGCTTGAATATTATTTGTGATATTCTGTCTTCTACGCCGTCAGTTGAGTTTGTGTGACTTTGTATATATGTGTGTTCTTGATCTTTGTATTTTGGAAATGGAAAAGTCTGTTTTTTGACTTCACAATCTGATCTTTGTCTAAACGAGTTATGAGTGTTATATAAAGGAAAAAATTTAAAATTTACAAAAATATGTACTCGTAAATTTTCGTAATTATTGAGTCTTGCATGTTCATGTCGGAGGCATTACAGTCTTTTATTGTATTGCTTAGTTTCATATATCCTCAAAAGTAAGTTAGAAATAAGACTTCCTCTAACTATGGCAACCACTAGTTGGTATGCTTTGTTCGTTCCTGAAGAAATTATCAGGATCAACCTTGTTCTTTATCTGCACTAACCTGTCAAAATTACTTTTAAAGTACTTAATCCCATAAACTTTTCCTTCATCATATGTTCCATGAAGGTTTCTTCCGATGTCAATATCTCGATAGTTGAGGAATGCTTCTCTAGGGTTCTTGGAAACAAATGGAGTCATGGCGTCATAAAGCTTTCTTATCTGATCTAAGTGCTTGTCGATGATATTATTATCTGCTTCCTTCCAGCTTGTGGAATGCTGAATCTTGAAGATATTTCCTGCTCGATGAGGAAATGGAGTTGCCATCTCCGAAATCTTACTCATTTCCCCCCATAAGGGTTCCATACCATTCCCAACTCATCAAATTCTATTATCAACTTAAAGATTAACGCGATTCCTGTTTTCGGGATCGGTTGTTGAACATAATCTGATGATCGTTTCAGAAAGTACAACGATTTAGATTTCCTGTTGAGTAAAACATCTTTTGATGTTCCTCGCGGGTAATTAGACCAGCTGAGGACCGATTCAATCCAGCTCATTTCGGTGCAGTTTTTCTGCTGTAACCCTAATTCAGGGAAGCTAGTATTCATGACAGACAAAAGGGTGTTAGATTCACCAAGAAACATGGCAATAAAGGCTGCTTTCACAGTCTTTTTTGTACCAGTTAGAGGACTCAGAAACAATCTGAGGAAGAGGTTTTCATCTACTTTATCTGCTATTT